ATAGTGAAGATTCGTCCAATCATGGGAAGACTACTCAATATTCAGTATATTTGAAAAATCCATCAAACATAAGCAAGGTGCATTATTAGATGGTGTTATAATGGCAGTGGCAAGTTGAAAAAAAAAATTCGTATTCAACATCTGTCATATTGGAGCCCTTCTTCATGATAGAATGCGTGGATGCAAAGAAGCTGCATCTAAGTGCCTTGCTGACATCGGTTAAACGGAGTGAATGTCCATGCGTATGTAATAACACGCTGGAGACGGCTTGTGGAATCGGTCCTTTTATTTCACTTCTTGCAGTTCACAAACACTCCCCGTTGCTGGCAGGCAACGGGAAGTGGGCAGACAGCTACCAGAGACCCACCGCCACGTGGCAACCGGAGCCCCACTCGCGCGTGGCCCCTCTCTCTGTTCGTTCCGTCTCTGACCACGTGTCTCTCCTCTCTCCCCGTATTTAACGCCTGGGTCACGTGGTACACTCCAGCCAATCCTCAATAGCATGCGCCGAATGTTCCAGATCCCCCATCAACTCCCGGGACCACGCCCCTGACTTGCCTTCCCATTGGCTGAGGCCAAGACCAGCGAAACCAATCACCGAGCTGACATCCCGTGATCACGCCGAGGCCATGCTCCCAGGCTCTCCCCCCATTGGCTGTAAAGCGAGACCGGCAAAGCCGATCACCACGTGAATCCGACATAGGCTGTTATTACACGTATTAAACTAAAACACTACTTTTATCACCACCGTATTGCATGTGTTTTGAGCCATAGTTTTTTTTTCTTTCAAAAGTTTCATCCAAACTCCAATTGCCCAATATGATGCTATTCCACACAATTTTTACCATTTCTGTGAAGTAAAGAGTGAAGCCATCTGAACGTGAATGTGGCATTTAACTACTCGCGTGGGGCTCCCGAGCGAGAAGAACGCCACCCCATTGCTCATTGGGACAGTGAGACATTACGCAACGTGCTCTGGGCATTTAGGCGCCAAAAGGCAGTCTCAAGATCGACTCACACGATCAGGTATTCATACTGATTATTGCATTTTTTTCTTATTGGATGTTAATAGCTGGCTCAATTCCACTTGGCCGTTGTCTGCTACGCTTGCAGTTCTCACAGTGTATCATTTATTGCAGAAAACTTTTCCAAATTCAGCATGGCAATGAGTTCCATACCTCAGAGGGAAGTCAAGAGTCATCATCCTTGGACTATAATGGAATCTTCCATAGAAATATGGAATTTTCACCACGGGCTTGGTGTCACCAACGTAAGTATACACTACCACATACTTTGTGCGCTCTGGCTCGAACAAAATTCAGTCTTTTACATGTAGGCATCAGCAGCTGGTCTAATAAAACAGGTGCCTGCCATATGAATGTGGAATTTCCACCCACTGGCTCAAAGTCACCAATGGAGGTGACCATCACTGCCGACTGCCAGTTGACCACTGGATTACTATTATCGTACACAGCGTTATTCAGTGCGTGGAAAATCACAACAACGGTCGCATGCAATATTAAAGCTAGCGGCTACGATTTCACAACGGAGCTGTTATTCACCATTGAAAAGCCTCTTCCCATTGTCAGCGCGTCTGCGGTGCTCTTTCCCTGAATTTAGCCGTGGCCAAAGCAGGACCAAATGCTCAGTGCAATTTTCAGAGCGGGGCATTTACAAATTACGTGCGGTATTTACCGCAGTTAAGTCCCACAACCATATAAGCCTTTTCCGATCCTCTTAAGGACTTACACGCGCTAATCTGACAAAATACAACAGGAAATAATGTTTATCCATGCCAGGCCAGCTTCACACACACACGGCGTACCGTCGCACGCACCGCCGAGCGGTGCAGACGGTGTGTCGCGAACGACGGAAGAGAACATCGACCCAAAAAAGTGAGCTATGGTAAAGCTCAGCTTAAAATCTGCACTGCAGTCCCCCCACATTAAAATATGTTACTTTAATGAAAAAAAACATAGTAATCAGTTTGGTGTGTATGATTCGGTAACAGCACTTTGGTTGATGATGTTGGCTTACGTGAATTTACAACTTTTACAATATTTGTGGGGGGTTTTGTTGTTGTCACTATATGCGCATATATATTACTTATAACTGGTGTAATGCCAATAGGGATAACTTGTCTGTCAAGGGAGTCAAAGGTCAACTCGTTTACTTTCGAACAGGAATAGTGTGATGCCCTTATTTTACACTGGCAGCTATGAACATGCGGTGTAAAATCTCTATTCCCATGGCAGCCATTTATTTTTCCATCGGTCACCACTGTTGACTTTCTACCAAATGGCACGTAGTTTTTAGTTTTTTTTACCTGGCTAAGTTGACCTCCGACTTGGATTTTAACTTGTAAATTTCCTATTTTTATTTTTAATTAATTTTAATGCCTCCTGTAGTGGCACTCTAAATGTATTGCTACAGAAGGACACTGCATACAAGTTGGACCTAACGAGTGACCAACGTAGAAGTAAGACAATGGTTGCACATGGAAAAATATCTGATGCAGTTGGTGATGCAAAGGAAACTTCCAATATATGGAGACATATGTAGCATGGGTAACCTATACGGAAAATGTAAAGTTTGCTGTTCGGAAAAATTTGAATGAACCGGAAAAAGAGGAAGACCTCGCAGAGAATGGTTTGATGACGACATGAGAGATTGGTGCCAGAGAGATGTGGCGCACTACTTGAGCACAGGGGCCGTCCATAAATGACGTCACGCGATTTTGGACAATTTTTACCCCCCCCCCCCGCTCGTCATACGACGTCACAAAAAGTCAGACCCCCCCCTCAAATATGAGGTCAAAAAGCCCTGCCCCCCCCCCCAAACCATATTTCCATTTTGAAAATTAAACATGCTTTAAACTATTGTCATTGTAGTGCCTATTTAATGTGGCGCTGCACTCTGATAGTGTAGGAGTGTTGTTATAACAATTAGTGTTGTTATAACAATTCTATATTTATTTAAAGTTGCGCATTTTGATGTGACGTCACATTTCTCAAACCCCTCCTCCCTCGTCACACATCGTCACAGATGTCTGACCCCCCCCCCCCCCTGCCTAGGTGCGTGACGTCATTTATGTACGGCCCCATATTGACACAAGACGGAGGAGAGTGGAAACAACGAAATGTGCAGTGGTCTCCTACGGGCTATCTGCCCATGGATCATGATGATGATGGCGTAGTGTGGGTTTCGTCCTTGGGTCAGCATTCAAATTCCTCACGTTGGTTTCTCGCCACAACCCTGACTTCTAAGCCACACAGCAATCAATTCACCTCCATGCTGCCCTGGGCCCGTCAGGAGAGGTTACCGCATTGTTCATCTTGACACTCTCTCTCTCTCTGATGGGCAACTCCTGGGTTGGGCAGGCAGCTTCGAGATCCTATGGCCGCCCCTGACCAGATCTCACTTGGTGTGAGGACCTCCAGATAGCATTGCCGAGCCAGGACTGGATCAACAGCGTAACTCGCCAGCATGCAACTCCAGGTATCCAGCAGTGGATAGAGCCCTAGCCACCCTCAGTGTGGTGTCTCCACACTCTAGATGTTCCAACATGAATGTGTCCTTCTCCCCCTTCTGCTTCCTGCCTCTGCATTGTTCTCCCTTTGTGTTTTTTTATCATACACCCAGCTCATGAAACCAGATATTCCAGACAAAGCTGCCACAAATCTTGTGTATGGGGCCACTTATAAAATCGGTACTATGCGTAAGTGCAGCACAAGTACTGTGCATAAACTAAAACAATTTTAATGTTATCAGATAAGTCCCACTGAACTATCTAGATCTTTTTTAGAAGTGACCACAAATGATAGTTCAACAAAGTGGCTCATCCCGAGATGGAATTCTACTTGACATTATCACATAAACCTCAGGGCTTGTCCTAAGTAATTGTAAATTTAAAATAACAAATCTGCATTTTTTTACAGTCAGCCTCCTGTATTTGGACAAAGGTCTCAACAGTGGGGTTGCCACCTCTGAGCAACACAAACAAATCCAAGACGAATCATAGGAAGAAGCATTTCTAACAATTCCAGATGTTGCTTACCAATATATATGTAGTTACATTTTAATGTGCAATGTTATTGAGAGACTATGTGTTGTTGTCTTGGTGTGGTCTGGGACTGAGGTTGTTGTTTTTATGCCTTGCCCCAAGCTTGCATTTAGTTTTGAAGAAAAAAACCCATCAGAAATGAATTTACTTATGCGATTTGTACTGATGTTATTTATTTAAGTGGCTTATATTTTCTCTCGTTTGCACTCAAATAGTTTTTTGTATTGTATTATTGTTTGCTAATGTAATTTGCTGATCCGCCCTGACTAAACATCAGCAAAACAGAGCTTCATAGCTCATCATGTAAATGCGTTGAGTGTGAATAGTTATTTTTTATTATTATTAGTATTCACCCAATCATAAAGGACCTTGAATGTCCCGGTACAACTGACAGATTTCTCAGGACAGCAACTGCCTCTGCAAGAGGATGATCCTGGGAAAACCGGGACAGATGACAACCATACTCACCACTACTGGCCCACTGATGTGGCAGGAGCGTTATGGACCCTCGTGGACGCTCTGGGTTGAGGAGCGTATACGAGACACCTGCCTGCTTTTACCAACCTCTAAGAGGTAGCACAGAAAGTGGGTGTTGTGCCACTTATTCGTGGTCTTGTTCCTACCATGAGCAAAAAAGTATCAATACAAAAGAGACAATGGGGTACTTGCAGCAGTCAAAATTGCTCATAATCATGCGTTGCTGAAACGAGCAGTTTATTTAAAGTGTTTTATTTACTTTTGACTGGCTTTATACCACGTTAGCGCTGTGTGGTTTCAAGTAAACAAAACGCAATCGATTAAATACGTACATAAAAAAAGAACCCAGGTGAAGAAAAGTCGAGACTGCACAACGTTTGTGTGTGATCGTCTGTACCAATATACTCATTAAATAAATCACAGATACTCTTTTTTGAATATTCAAAAGGGTTGTGTTTTTATTTGGTTTTATTGTCAATATCTGGAAAGCTGAAAAAAATATCAATGCACTCAGAAACGTGAATTCATGGAACGGGTTTGGAGATACATCACCTTACCCCCCTTGCAAGTAGTGGAATATTCCAAGGTTTTCATACCAACCATACAAAGGATGCAAAGGAAATATAATTAAGATTGTTCCACTCTTAACTAAGGGGTCGAGGCAAGTAAACTCATCCCCATGATAGTCTGAACTAGTGGTGGAAATTATACATTCCCATGGCAGGGATGAGTCTTTCCATAAAACAGCCACAGTTGACTTCTACAAAGTGGCACCAATGTTATCATCCCAATAAAGATGATGAGCTGAGTGAACTACCAATTGCATATTAACTCACAACCTTGCAATTGTAAGTTGAGTGCTCTAACCATATTGCTCCCCAGCCTAAATATCGTATTCTCCAGATTACAAGACCCTCCAGGAAATAAGATGGACCCAAAACTTTAGGGTCATTTTTAATAAAAGTGTGTTTCATAATGAGGATAATACGGTACTGTGGAAAGTCTTCTTAGATTATTATAAAACCTGTTGCTTTAATATGGAGAGAGATGTCTTCTGGACGATGATTCTGAACAACTAGGTTAAAACATGTCTTCTGAAAAGGGCCTATATCCTCTGGATTATAAGACGCACCCCAACCTTTGCTGTAAAATATAGGGGGAGAAAGTGTATCTGATAATCCTGATAATATGGCCATTTAAAGGGTAAACAGTGATTGAAAAGCAGTGCATCCAATACAACACTGTTCAGAAAAAGAACTGCTTGCGGAGTGTACCATTCCATTATGGAGGTATGGGTCCGACCAACAACTTCAAGGCGACAAGTATTCGCCGTGCCACTTCACATGTGTCCACCCGTCGGTCCAATGGGGCTGCAGGCTGGTGCAGTGGTAACACTCGTGACTCGCGGCAAAAAGCTCCCTGGGTTCGATTCCTGACTCCAGCGCCTTTCTCTGTGGAGCTTGTATGTTCTTCCTCAGGTTTCTCCCGTTTCTTCCCATAGCTAGAAACAATGTCATTGGTGATGATAGCAGGACCCTCCTCAAAAAATTTTAACCTGTTAATGTAAAATTAGAGAGCCGAAAATAACAACTAACATCGGAAGGTGGTAGGATGGGAACATCACAGCCAGTTATGACTTGAACGGGTTGATAACGTCCTTCCAATGATTTTGTACCCAACTTCTCGGTTGAAATTGTGTCTTTGTCTGTATATATGGATGGCTTCATGAACGAATCTTTATTGATAGCCAGTGGGTTTGCAAAGTACCTTCGTCTTAGAGAAATCTATTTCGTGTGAGCCCACCGCATTAAAACAATGATCAGCCACAGCCAAGGTATTGCGTCCTACCAAGTTTCAGATCTGCCTTATGTTCATATGAGGAAGATCTATTCTTAAAATTCTAAGCCTCAAGGCATCTTCTTTACACTTGAAGCCCCCTTTCGCACCATTGCAGAGGGCGCCGAGTCACTACTGCATCAAGCCAGGCTGGGCACTTCATGACCGCCCAGCGCCATCTGTCCCCCTCTCTGCGGCCAATTTGAACCTCAGGCCACCGCCATCGGTCCAGAACGACGATCCCCTCTCGCTGCCATCGCCTCCCCACAGTAGGTCTCCTGCCGCCGAAAAGCCTCCCTGGTAGGCCTCGCTCGCCCAGCATCGCAATCCCTCCATGGGGGGCACGCCCGTGGAGGGATTGTCTCCAGAGTCAACGGCAAGTTGCGGCGGTGGCGGTGGGACGAAGTAAGGCAGGGCACTCACCGAGCCAGGCCTTGGGGACCAGCGGCTCTGCTCACCCATCTGAGCAGTCGCCGTGTGAGCTAGGGACCAGATCTTGGGTTTGTCTGCGGCCGGAGGCTTCTGCTCGGCTCGTCCTTCCCAGGTGGCGCCGTCGATGAGACCGCTGTCTCGGATCACGCCGCGATGTCCACCGCTCGAGTGGCCGGCGAGGTGCTGCTTATCGTCGTCAGCGTCGCTGTTGGGGATTGGCGGTGCATGCTGTTGGACAGTCAGGGCAAGATTGCTCTCACTGCTGTCGCTGCTGCTGCTGCTGTTGCTGCTGCTGTGCATCCCTGTAGGGGACAATGAGTGCTTGCTCATTGTGGCTGGGCTGCAAATTCTTCGGTGGTCACCGCCTCTGCCCTCGTCCCCCTTGTCCATCAGTCGAGAGTCATCACCATTGTCCTCTTGTTGATCTGCAGATAGAGAAGTGAAGATTGTGTGTGTGTGTATGCGCAATCCATATAACAATCTGATCAAGTCACAATGTGGTTGGAATGCTTGGCTTGCGATCGGAAGGCTGTGAGCTAAACTGAAGATTGGGGCTCAACTCAGCCTTCCATCCTTCTGTAGCCGAAACAATTATTTGTTCGTAATGGGTTGGCACGGCTTTACATAGCAACTGATACAGGTCATATACCCAAAGCACTGCCTCTGGAGAAGTTGAATGAATGTCTTCAAGGCCTCTGCTGAATTTACGATGTTCACAATAGTGAGAAAAGACAACCTTCACGTAGTCCATTTATTAACCGTTTCTTTCTAAAATGTGAACTAAGATCAAATCGGCCAAAAAAGGAACGGGAAAGCCACTACGATACGTCAGTGCAATGGTGGTATATGTATGTTTACTCGATATTACGATATTACATATACTATGTTCAACAAGAGGAAGTAATTCACTGTTGAGAAAAAGTTTTCTGATTGCGAGTTGCATTCTCTAACCAATGCCTGGACCAGCCACACGTTTTGCAATCATCGATTCCTGCTACCGGTAAACAGTTGTCATGGTGAACGAACCTGCATGGCTGCTGTCACATTCAGCCTCCTTCTCGTCCCGGCTGTGGCTGCCCAGGGGAGTCCACGTCATCTTGTTGTCCTTCTTAAGACGTCGGCGAGCATTGGCAAACCAAGTGGAGATCTGAATGAAAGGTCTCACGTGAAGCTCTGAACAGATTCTTGCAATACCAAGCAACGGAGATAAAGGTGCAATGGCAGTGTGTTGGTTCGAGATCAATGTCATCTCGATACCAAGATCCAGGATGGTCACGTCTACGCGCCGCTTTTCGGTAGGCAGCCCCAACAGTCTGGAACGATATCCCTCCACACATTCGCAGCATCACCTCAATCGCCTCCTTCAAGAGACACTTAAAAACTCACCTCTACAATCATGCTTTTGAGCGACTCTGAGCTTGGCTCCGCGCCTCTGAGTTGCGGCCACTACGTCTGCAAATTTGCACGCGTTACAAATTGTACTATTATTATTAATGTGGAACTTAAACCCAGGTGGCTGGATTATTAGCGCAGCAGACTACTAAAGGTTAAGTCAACCTAGTGCAGACCCAAGACATGTTCTGAACCTACTTATCACTCATGTTAGCCGTAGATTGGAATAAAACTCAGGTGGCCTGGATCAGAGTGCACACCCGTCTATATTTAACAACACACAAATATGTGCATTGCGCGTACAAATGCTCTCTGCCTTATCCAGGCCACCACCTCAAAAGAACTGAACAAGGCTGAGCTTTTCTGGAAATCAGTACACACCTTTGCTTGCTGTTAAATAAATCTGTTGCCAAACCTGCATCAATTATCCCGCTGTGATGGGCCATCACATCACTCACAGATGTGAATGAAACCGCCCACCTGGGTGAGCGTCATGCGCGTGATGATGGCCAGCATGATCTTCTCCCCCTTGGTGGGGTACGGGTTCTTGCGATGCTCGTTGAGCCAGGCCTTGAGCGTGGCCGTGGCGTCGCGAGTGGCGTTCTTGCGCCGTGCGGCATTCGCTTCTGCAGCGCCGTACCTAAGGGTGGATCGACAACCCTTTTTTTTCTTTCCAACAGGCTCACCGACGACACAACTGTGAGCCGCTGGCCCCACCTTCCCCCCTTCTCAATGCTGTTCACTTGCTTGCTTGCTTGCGCGCTTACGACCGTGCAAATCTTTCTGTCGTTTTTTAACCCACTTCCCGTGATCCAATCGAGCTGACATTTTGCACACAGACTCGTTGTGCGTGACAATTTATTGTCGTGAAATTTTTTTCCCATAACTTTACACTTTTTAGGAAATTATTTTTTATATTTAATTACCAATTGGTTAATGGTGGCGGGCAATCATCTGACCCATAGGTGGCAGCCATCTCAAGCCAGAGGACGAGATGACTCTACCCGCCACGCATATAAAGGATTTATAGTGAAAAACTTTGTTTTTACGGGTTAATTTTTACATAGCCAAGCTTGCTCCGTTACTAGCCCTGCCTACAGAGTTTAAGGGTCTTGGGGTTCTATATCATGTTAGCCCCACCCACTGCTCAGGTAGCCCCTCCTCCTGCTGCTCAGGCTAGCCCCGCCCACTGCTCATCTAGCCCCTCAGACTACTCAGATAGCCCCGACCCTTTGACAGAAACGTGAGTTGAGCATGAGACCAGAAGAATTTAAAACTAGAGACAAAGTCCCAATATTCAGAAAAGCTTCAACGGCGAGGCCCTCAGACAGCATTTTTGAAATCACTGGACATTTGGCAACTTTAGATAATGGTCAGCCAAAGCTGTAAATGGAGGTCAAGGTCTCATAAAGAGGGATGCTAAGTTTATACCAAATACATCATCTTGGATGACGCAAATTAGTATCCTCTTTACAGAGAAGTCAGCAGTAATGATCGAATATACTTTCTGATCCCTGCCATGGGAATGTGGAATTTTCAACAAAGGTTTTAGAAGTCATACTCTAGTGGTATCACTAGAGGGCACTGAAGTAGCATCTTGAGAGTCACATGACTGTGATTTTCAATTATGTATTTTATCATTAGCAAAGCTTTATGTGCATGTCACAAACATGCCAATACACATAGCCTTGGTAGTTTCTTTAAACAAATGTGTTGGACTTTTGCGTCTCTGGTAGCAGTATTAGCTTATACTACATTTAACTTTGGACACCCATTTCAAGGATTGGTGAATTGTAAGTAGGCTGATTACCTACCTTCAACATGGAAAAACATGCTTACAAACAACAGGAAGTCACGACTCCCATCATGCCTTACACACACGTCATGTGCCCAACACATTGCACGTACAATGCTCTTGGCCTTGTCGAGACCACCAACCCGATTGAGCTGAAATGTGGCCGTCCTGTCAGTACCTGTCGCATTGGTAGTGGGAGAGTGTGGGATCGTAGGTGCAGTAAGAGCCATGGGCCAGAGCCGACCTGGTCCCATCCGCAAGCTCGTATCCAGCCTGCATGTCCACAACAAAAAGGCCGAGTCTACTGCAGACTGGAATATGAACTAGTCAACTGGCCAATTCCGTCTTAAAGAGATTGTACAAGTGTATGCGCTTACAACAATGTTACTCGACCAGACTAAAGTAATAATATTAATCATTGATTGTGCCATCTATATTAATAAACTCGGTTTTCTATATCGCAATTCGCACAAGGCCTCAAAGCTATTTCACGTAAGCTTAAGTTATGGGGAAAGCCTGTAAATACCGATTCGTTTTTAGACGTGATTTAAAAAGTGGAACAGACTAAGATGCCCTCATGGACTGAGGAAGGGAATTCCACAATTTATGTGTACAGGAAGGCCTCATAGCTGTCAAATATTCTCAACACATGTTTCTAAATGTGGAGGGAAAAACCAGAGGACCCGGAGAAAAATCAACGCGACCACGGGGTGAACATGCAAACTCCAAATATACAGGCATCAGGGTCGTGATTGAACCAATGACCTGTATACCAGGCGAGATAGTTAACATCTGGCCACCGTGGCGCCCTCAATCTCACCATTAGGCTCTCACCCACATTGTTATAGCCGTGCTTGAAGGGTGCTTCGTACCATCGGCGTATAGATCGACTGCGGCTGTCCGTGGTAGGAGAGGTAAGCTCCGTAGGCTGGGGAGGCTGCGGAAAACGCACCCAGTCCTCCTACGCATAACCCTCGGTCAAAGGGGCTCTGCATGGGGCACTGGCCAATCCCAACCCTGCCTCCAACCGTGCAGATGCCATCCTCCCGCCGGGACCCGCACACCTCAGCAGTGGGCTTGTGCAACACGAGCTACGAGAGAAAAGGCAGAGTTTGTCAATCTCTTTAGCAGCTGCAAGAGAGCGCATGTTTCCGATGTGTGTTCGTGTTGTGCCGCGTGTTGCCAGCAACGATGTCCGAAGTTCCGCTCAACACGCTCAAAGCTTCTTGAAAAACTGAATTCATGTCCAGTTGAACGTGCAACGTTGGTGCATGGTTGGAACCATTGAACCGACGTTGGCCCCCAACATTGGGCATACATTTTCATGTTTACTGGGTGAATAGTTCCAAGAGAGGCACTCAGCACGTGGAGAAAAACGATGGGCACGGTGAGAAACGACACGCGGTGCAACCTGGACAAACATCGGAAAGCTGCGCTGCACGACGACGAAAAACAGACATGGCTGTCTTTTATTGCGGTCAAGATCACGACCGAGACCAAGGCCATCACAGCCAGTACCATGACTGTGTGTGTGCGCACCACGACGACAGGTCGCACTCATTACACACAAAGTGCTTGTAACAAACGAACCGCAATATCTCGATAATCTCAAGGAGCATGAACCATCACGCGAACTCCGTTCATCCTCGCAGCGGCTTCTGGCGAGCCATCGAACAAAGACGGTGACTGCATCGCTCACTTTCAGATGCGCTTCTGCGGACGTCTGGAATGCTCTTCCTTCTGATATTAGGAAACGAATGGAGCTATGCACTTTTAAATCTCGATTTTCTGCTTTTGTGTTTAGTTTTTTGTCCTTCTCCCACATCTCCGATTAGTACGGTTGGCTATGTATGGTGGGTAGAAGTTCAACATACATATATACATACTCTTAGTTTTTTCGGTAAAGTCACGTAGGTAAAAAATGATATTTAAAATTAATAAAAAATAAAACAATAAAAATCACGACGTTTCGGAGGCAACACAAGTCTCCGTCATCAGGTGGGACCGTCACAGCCAGATTTGCTGCATCTTACCGAAAGAACTAAGAGTATGAATCCTTGCAGTCACGAAAGCTTCAAATCTAGAATACATATATACATAAAACACACCACACCGCGGCATTTCTTCCTTCTGCCAGATTCCACACCAATTACACGGTTGATGCATGACCTCCAAGATCGATTTCTGTAGACTCATCCCAATATTTGTCTTTAAGTCTTCTCTTCGCTCACCAATCTATGAGCGCTACTTCAATGTCTGTCGTGATAAACCAGCACGACTCCATGCTGTACAGATACCCTTCCCACTGAAGTAACAAAACTAAATGTGTTTACATCACCAGTTTTTCCCAGTGTGTCATTAGCTACTATTCGATACTACGTATACAACGGTAAGCTAACCCTGTGTATGATAATTTACGATTGGAAAAAAACTAAAGCATAAAACTAGTTTGCTTCAAAATCTCCGGTGTGTTTTCCAGAGTGTAGCACATGTTGTTCGGCATGAAAAAAAACCCGTTGTTTTTGCCAAAATATTTGCGACATATCACTCCTCCAAAACCCTTGCCTAGATCCCTGCAATAAAGGATGCATATTGCCTTCCGTCAATTGCTAGGCTTCACGCGGTAGGGAAAGGCAACGATCAAAGGAGAATGTGTGCGGCTCCTGGAGAGATGAGACTTGTTCATCGTACTGTTGTGGGTCGTGGCCACGCCACAGTCACACCTTTCATTTTAATGGGATGTGTAGAGGCTTGTAAAGTGGATAGAGAATGTCGTTTTGGCTCAAATGTTTTAATAGTGTGGTCGGCAAAGATAAGCTTTACCTGCTGTAACAGTGATTCTGGCCCACTTGCCTTGCGGTCTATCTGCATGTAACAGCTGTTCGGATTAATCTCCCAATTGTAATCATGTCAATGGGCCTCGCTAACTGGTTAAATAGTGGCCACTGATATGATATTTATTGCTGTGGCAGTAACAGATCGGTGCTGGAAACAACAGCGATGTCCGTCTCACTGTTTGGGGTCATCGTGAGAATAATCGATTACTTAAATCATTTGGTAGTGCGCTTTTAGTTGACATTGCTTCCTAGCAGCAACTCTGTCCACCGTTGTTTGCTCACACTTCTACAACAGGGGGTTGCATGCGTTCACTACAGTCGTGACATTACCGCTGTTCTCAAGAAACGTGTTTACAATTGTTCGACGAGGCAGTAAAAGTGCCTCCTGTGCTGTAAAACACTTGCAATTAGCAACTTGGCAACAGCTAAAATAACACCATATACACAGTAAACGGCTATAAGGATGCCACTCACTCCATACACACAAAGACAAAGATCCCCCGTATAGCCTTGACAGACTGTTGGGGCACGCGCTGTTAGCGAGCACCTATGGAGGCTGACACGGCACACGAGGGGGTGGGTGGCCAGTGGCGATGTTTACACATCGCACCAGGTACTAATTTGAGGCCGAGTCGACCTAGATGAGGCCCAGGACCGGTTCACCATGTTGGCCGTGAGTGGGAATCGAACTCGGGCGGCCGGGTTTGTAGCACAGAGCGCTAACCGCTACACTACAACTCACTCCACACACACATATACACAGTTATTTACGCTTAGTGATAGCGCATCCTTCAATATACTTTAGTTATACTGTATTGTTAAGATGTTTGCTGTGCATACTCTACAATTTGCATACTTTAAATATAAATGTATCACACGTTTGATATTTAGGAGTGCTTTACAGTGTCGTAAAATATTGTTATTCTCAGTCTGTAATTTCTATATATATGTTTTAATTTAAACATTCCATTATTTTGTACATGTTCTTTACTTTGGCAGAGCACTCAAAATGGCATTTATGAGGTTGCAAGTTGAAATGCAGTTGAGATCGACTCACTCTTACTCCAGTCAATAAAAGAGTAAGTGCCACTGTGAAAGATGTCAAAAATAGTTATCTTATAGAGGGTACGGCCCCTTCCATAGCAATGTGTAATTTCCACCACTGACTTAGGGCCAGAGGTCGCAAACGGGTTTTGATTCCTTACCCGTACCCATACCCGGCCGCACCAGGGTCGCAATCGGGTACCCGTACCCGTACCCTACCCGATACCCGGCTACCCGTACCCGGCCGGGTATCGGGTAGGGTATGGGCACGGCTACCCGATTGCGACCTCTGGGATGAAGCCATGTTGCAGGCGCGGGTGGGTTGATTCTAGGAACTTGAATTGTGAGAAGAGACAAGACGTTTGGAAATGAGTGACAAACGGTGACTCACCAGTGACTCACGGCCTACCCGTACCCATACCCGGCCGCACCAGGGTCACAAACGGGTACCTTTACCCGTACCCGGCCGGGTAAGGGTAGCCGGGTATCGTATAGGGTACGGGTATCGGGTACCCGGTTGCGACCTCTGCTTAGGGCTGCTAATGCTTGCTTGGTCATGGAGGCATTTGACTTATTATTAGTATTATTATTCTCACCAACACTAAGAAAGACGGGTACACATCCTCCCAACAGCCAGGGAAACTTTCGTCTCGTTCCGGCTGGGTAGCTCAGCCATCGAGCGAGCAGCTCACAATCTGAAGAGCGCGAGTTGAACTCTTGGTCGGCGTTGACCATCATTCCTGCGGGGGTCGATAAAACGAGTACCACTTTGTGAGGAGGTCAATAGCGATTGGCCGATGGATAGATTCGCCCGAGAAATAGGAATGTCGTGATTTTTTTTTTACTTTTATTAATTTTAATTTTTTTACCTACGTGACTTTACCGAAAAAACCTAAGAATATGAATCCTTGCAGTCACGAAAGCTTCAAATCTAGAATTTCTACCACTGACTCGTGGTTTTAAACAGTCGATGAGCTCCCTGCTCATTACAGCTGGGAATCACTTTGCCTTTGAAAATGAAAAAAAAATTCAAACTACAATATTTGGGATATTTTAGGAATGCTTTGTGATATAGAACATTCTGCGGTGTTAAAATGTCAGAATAGGTGTATAATTCCAGTGCATTTCCGTTGCTAAAGTGGTTTTAAAGTCACTTTTACGGGGACTCTGAGTGGTACCTGCCAATACCACCCCAAACCTCACTCTGCGCACGCTGCAGCTGTTTCATAATTCAGCTGCCTGATTAGTCTGTAGGGTGGAGAAACATGAGCACATCGCATCCGCTCTGGAAAGAAGCAAAAAAAAACTGAGGTTGGATTCTGGTGAAAGCATGCATCAGTTTCAATAACGTCTCGATGCTAATTGTTCTAAGCACAAAGCGATGGCTCTCACGGTTTGCATAACGGCTCAAAGTCGCCGTGTCTCCCTGGGTTGGCGATCGTCTCCGATTGTGGCACTGAGTTTGCGGTGGAAATACCACACTCTCATGGCAGGGGCCAGTCTTTCCGTGGAACAAGTACAGAAAAAAAACATTATAAATTATCACCGCCTCCTAGCAGAAACGATGTACCCTATTCTCCATATTTTAAGATGCTCTGGAAAGTAGCTCACCCCAAACTTGAGCCCAGTGACAATGCATTTCTACAAATCTAGCAGTGTACACCAGACAAAATCATGTACACAGACACGTACACCTACTGAAACCCCCACATTTTTCTTTAAAATTCAGTGGGGGGGGGGGGGGGGGGGGGGAATGCATCTCCTAATCTGGAGAATACCGTATATGATATGCTCATACAAAGCGGTATTAATTACAATGTTACAATTATTTTGACGCGTGCTTGTACATCATTTCCAGCACAGTCCCGTAATGTTTTGTCACCACGGACCGACTTCTGGGGTTATCCATCGCAGAGGGATGATGTTGACCCTCGAGTGAGATTTAAACTCACGACATCACAGTTGTGTGGCTAGCGTTCTAACCTCAGCAACGGGCGTCTGTGATGTAGCATTGCGATTTAGCGTGAATGATAGCCCTGTACATGGACTACATGGGGCGGGAGAGTGGGAACACACTGCGCTATTGTGCTGGCGACCAGAGTTTAATTCCGGGCCATGGCTAACATCGGCTGTGAGTGATATATTAGTGGATACTGAAAACCTAATTTGCCAAACAACACTGGTGAGCGTGGTGAAGCATGGTCAGACGA